CCGTGAAGGTTCTTTGTACATTTTCTAGGTCAGCAATTTCACCTGCCTTGAAAGGTGCTGTTAGTGTGCAGCAATATTCCAGCCTAGATAGAACAAGTGACCTGAAGAGTGTCATCATGGGCTTGGCATCCCTAGTTTTGAAGGTTCTCATTATCCATCCTGTCATTTTTCTAGCAGATGCGATTGATACAGTGTTATGGTCCTTGAAGGTGAGATCCTCCGACATGATCACTCCCAGATCTTTGACGTTGGTTTTTCGCTCTATTGTGTGGTTGGAATTTGTTTTATACTCTGATAAGTTTTAATTTCCTCGTGTTTACCATATCGGAGTAATTGAAATTTCTCATCGTTGAACTTCATATTGTTTTCTGCAGCCCACTGGCAGAGTGCATGGGCATGTCATTTTTCGACTGTTCGAAGTCATTTGGCGTCAGGATAACGTCAGATAGGCTTGTGTTTACCAAATTCTGTGGCTCTCTCATAAAAAATTCATTTAGATCTTCGACTCTCAGTCTGGTTAGCGGCTTGATAAAAACTGAGTCTAAAGGATAATAAATTTTATTTGTTAAGAATAACACGAAGTAGAGAATAAAGAGCGAGGTGCAGGTGTCAGGGATCACTCAGTCACTGACAAGTAACACACTTGTTTATTCTCAAATCAGCTCCTGGTCCTGCCTCTCCATTGGCCGCTACTGCCTTCCCTCATTCCTGACTTCTTGGGCCCTATCATACCCATTCTTAAAACTATGTATGGATCCTGCCTCTACAACTCAGCTAGCAAGGACGTTGTACTCACACTGCCTCGCCGACGCTTCCGCTAACCTAAGGTAATTAACATATCGAACATATTTTTTCTTGTGAGGAAAGTGAAGAGCTTTGAGGAAGGAGCTGGTTTAGCGCTTCTTTTTTATAATAATAATAATAATAATAATAATAATAATAATAATAATAATAATAATAATAATAATAATGAGGAAGGATCATTGTTTTTTATAAATCACTGCAGGTAGTGGATGTTTCATGGTCTCACCTGACCAGATATTTCCTCGGGATGGTTGTTAAAAATAACAGTACTGTATGAGATCTTTGCATATGTTCTTGTTTAAAACAATGTAGATGCCAATGCAATGTTATTACTCATAACAGGAGCCCCTGGAGGTTCACAAACTAAGGAAAAGAAAACTTAAAATTTCTGAGTCTATTTATGTACATATATAGTAATCTGAAGAAGACAGAAAACATACACAAATAACCCGCACATAAAAGAGAGAAGCTTACGACGACGTTTCGGTCCGACTTGGACCATTTACAAAGTCACACTAACCAGAAGTGGAGCAGAACGGCTATATATAGGCAGGAAGAGGTGGTGGTGGTGGTGTAGTAGTAGTAGTAGAGGTAGTAGTAGTGGTCGGACCGAAACGTCGTCGTAAGCTTCTCTCTTTTATGTGCGGGTTATTTGTGTATCGTTCCAGTCACGGTATTGTGCCTTTTTTTGTTATTTAAGACAGAAAACAATTACAAAATAAATCTCTGAATAATTTTAGTAATGTGCTTTTATGTGTTCTGCCTTGATACTGTTGTAGGGATTTTAGTCCAAGGAATTGGACCTATACTCTCATTCTTTGGATCAAACCTGATAACCTCCTATATCGCGGGTGTTACTGGTTTAACACTTTACCATGAATATAATAACTGTCACCACTGTTCGACCTATGGAATCAGGTTCCCAGCCTTTCGAGTACCTTGATGCCTGTGAAGGGCTCTTGATTTAACAAACTGGAGCTACCTTCCCTTTCCTTCGATCGTACTTGATTACTTCATTCCTCAATGCTGTATAACTTAATAATAATATAACTTAATAATAATAATAATAATACTAAATTACATATCTATGTCAAATATGTCAACCCTTTTAAATACGTAAAACGCATTACGAATTGTCATAATTTTAAGCTAATATCCCTACGGGTTAAGCGCTCCCCATGCTTGTAATAAGTCATATTCAGGAAGGATATTTGTTACTTGTTGAAGACTATATAACTTTTATCTACTTTTCTAAGCAAGATAATGGGTGTTAAATTGCTATAGTTATGAAGGAATTTTAAACTGTGAACTCAAAATAATATAACAACGTTCAGCTCATATTTACCCATTAACAGAACGGAGATTCTTGCTAAATTCAGTACTAATCCATCAGATGGTTCTTGCGGGTTTAGAGCTTAGCTTTGATTATAATAATCCATCAGATGGAATAGTCTGTACAGATCATTTATAATTATTTAAAAAAATAACTGCAGCATCTAAATTCGTAAGTTAGTAGTTATTTCACGAAATGTTTTTAATATATTACGAATGACTCGCGAAATCGTAATGACACTATTGCAAACAAATCACGGTACGGGTGGGAATTGAACTCACGGCGAGTGAGTCGTAAAACTCCAGGCTTACGCACTGGCCTGGAGTTTTACGACCCACTTGCCTCGAGTTCAATCCCCACCCGTACCGTGGTTAATATATTACAAAGTTTTTAATGTAACAATTTTAAATTTATTTTTAATAAACCCGCCGGTAAAGTGCTCTTGATCCAGGGAATTGGAGTTACCTTCCTTCCTTCCCCCCCCCCTGACTCAACCTTATCTGCCTACGATTCCTCAAGGCTTTGTATGACCCATATAGGTTTAGCACTTATCCGTAAATATAATCATTTAATCATATAATTCTGGAAGTAGGAGCGTCTTACTGAAAACGTTTTTCAGGGGTCTGAAAAGTTTTATTTGACTTTAGTTAAGTAAGTTGACGAGTACAGTTAGGAAGCCTCTGTCTGTCTGTCTGTCTGTCTGTCTGTCTGTCTGTCTGTCTGTCTGTCTGTCTGTCTGTCTGTCTGTCTGGTGACCCGTGTGGGCCCCACAAATTTATTTTTGCCGACATTCTTACTCGCCCTTTTTTTTTTATATCGTTTTTATTAAATTTCATAATTATAAACAATGGTTAGAATTTTTAAAGCAATTTTGCTACAAAATTTTGTGATGTGTCCAATGATAATTATATCTGTTTCTTAATGTTTAAGTCTGGTAAACACAGTTACCACACAGTACAGCTCGATATAATGAACAGATTACTGAAGGTGTTAGTTAACCAGCGTACGAACTAGCGGGATTTAGCGAACTTATTTCGAGTTAATTCTATAGTTTTCGGTTAGGTTAGATTAAGTAAGATTTGTCAGGGAATAGAACAAGTGTCTCCTGACTCTGGTCTTAGTCATATGATAACCCCACAGCTGGAACTTTTGGTCATCTGACTGAGGCCTTCTACTGGCTTACCAGTTCTCCCCTTTAAAAACTTAACTATATTACTACTCTATAGTTTTCGGTGTTCATTGTGAGATTTATCAATTTTTAAATAATTTAGTATAGTTTTCCTTAAAAATACATATTAATCCAAAGTTTTTTTATTCTTTACAATTCGGCATGCATAATAATTCTCAAATTATTGTACTCATGATTATTTAATTATGTTCCATTGTCTCGTTCATTCTCTTTTTTGAGGATGAGAGAGACTAATTAAAAATAAAGGTAGTACTTCCATATATATATTTCAAAATATTTGTAGTGTGAAATGTATTAGGACAGATGATTGTTGATATATATCCATCGTTGTTATTTAACTTTATAAACGAAGATTTCCATCAAAGGTTTGTGAGTATTATTCAGAGACTCGTCTAGACTGACCCCGCGAGGGAGGTTACTTGATGCTGCTGAGGTGCTCTTGATCCAAAGAACTTGATTTGCCTTCAAATTCCTTAGGTCGAATTTAATTACCTTTCATTTCCCAGGCGCTGTGATCCTTGTAAGTTTAAGCTTCAAGCTTCTTAGTCTTAAGTCAATTACTGCTACTTATTAATGCTACTTTCTACTCGTGTTGTTTACTGCTACAGGTTGATTTTGTATAATTTTTAGCGTTAAGCATTTAAAAACCATTTTATTAGTATTCGTATTACATAGTTAAGGTTGCAAAACGAAAATATTGATTTGCAACTTTGTCCACGTACAGATTCGTGTCTCGTGCAATATGTAACATTCTCTCACATAAGACCCAGTTTCGTCTGGTTTAGTAATAGAAATGCAGGACTTAGGGTATGTTCTGGGTATTGCAAGAGATTGTTTGGTTAGCATTGATAAATGAGCAGTCACAAGAGAGACGGGAGAGTGTTGGTACCACTCCAAGAATAGTAATTTAATTAGTGTGTTTCTAGGTTGATCATTGTGTTAGATATTAGTGGTAAATATTTTGAATAAACTAGTGCCCCTTTTTTTCAGCTGTATCATTTAAAGGTGGTTTTCCTTTTTTTTTTTTTTTTTCTTTTTTTTTTGTTGCAATTTGTGATCCATTGAAGTTTAGCGAGAGTTTTTAATAGTTTATTATTATTATTATTATTATTATTATTATTATTATTATTATTATTATTATTATTATTATTATTATTATTATTATTTCTATGAGACAAACCTTCAAGGAAGGATTGGAGGGTTTGCTTTGAAATTGAAGGGCTCATGATTCCTAGGAACAAATCTGATTGCCGCCCATTCTTCAGGTACTGTCTGACGATAATGATGATTATGTGGCTAGGTTAGGCAAGGTTCGTCAGGAAACAGGACAAGTTTCCTGACGCGGGTCTTAGATGATAACCCGCCGTTGGAGCTTTTGGTCACCTGATTAAGGCCTTCCGCTGGCTTACCGGTCCATCCTTTTAAAAATTAGGGTCATAGTTATAACCCATTTAGTTTTTGTATGTTTGGAGATAACGATTAAGATGTTTGGAAAATTAAATAGTATTTATTCAGTTATAAACATTTTGGTGATAAATACGTACCTACTTTACAAAAGTTCCCAGGGGCCATAATTGTGCATTAAAGATTCAGGGTTACTGACATTAGCATACGAATTTACTATGAGAAACATGTGTGTGTTGCGAAACAGAGGTGAAAGAGGGGTGGCGGTGGCGGCACTGAGCCAGTAGTCAGTTGTTAACTGCTGATAGCACCATGAAGCAGTCTATATCCTGATCCTTCGTTACTTGTCCACTTCGCTACCTTCTGCAGTATTTGCCTGATGGGGGATTATCGAAAATTTCCATACCTTTCACCCGATAGCCTATAATGCCCGCACATAACCGTGGCACACTGGCTTTGAGTAAGGCGCAGGCACACTCTTGAACTCCGTCTTGATGTTGTGGAAAACCCAACAAACGTGTAACAGTTAATAAGCGGTTTACATTGTTTCTGAGAAAACAGTTATTCACGAGCAGCAAGATCAGCGATTTGTATAAAGACAATGAAGTGTGTGTTATTGTTTATCTGTGTAGTGGCATTGGTGTCTCCCAGGTGCGTGGCGCTGCCCAACACACCCACTGAGGCTCACAATATAGTACCCACAGACACCCACAATGTGACACCCACAGAGTCCCATAATATGGCACCCACAGAGTCCCATAATATGGCCAAGACCATCACCCTCAACGCCTCGTCTGCTCACGATAACTTGTCTGGTGACCTTCAAGACTAACGGGAAAGAATGATACCCATGACCTTTTAAATGATGGTCAAGGCGCTGAAGGAGGCCATGGTGGTGGAGGGGGTCATCATGGAGTAGGAGAAAGATATCCCGTGATTGTCGTCCACTGGGAGAGGGTACAGACGCCTTTCATCATTTGTGTGTGGATCATGTACGCTTGTTTCGGCAAATTAGGCAAGTTATCTCTATTTTAGAAACAATGCATAACATATCTGACTTTACCCTATTAATCTGAAGTTTTCTTGGCATTTCATTAGTGAAATAGCAAGTTCATGATGAATAAAATACATGAGCAATATTTGGGTATCTTTATTACCGAAACGTTTCGCCTGCACAACAGGCTTCTTCAGTCGAATGCAGACGAATATAACACTAGAGACAGTAGACGTATTTTTTTAACGTAACCAATCCATCAACCATTGTAGGAGGAGGTCATTTTCAAGCCAAGCTTGAAAGACTGACCATCTACTACCAAGGCTGACGGAGTGATCACCGTAGAATTACCACTATTGTCTCCAGTATTGTATTCGACTGAGGAAGCTAGTTGTGCAGGCGGAAAGTTTCGGCAATAAAGATAGCCCAAGTGTTTCACATGCTTTTTATTAATAATAATCTTCATTTGTACAAGTACATGATACAACTTATATAGACCTAGCTGGCATCAGTGACATACTATATAGAAAGTCCCTTGTTGTGCGGAGCATTTCAGGCAAATTAGGTTTGTTTTGTCCCCAGGATGCGACCCACATCAGTCAACTAACACTCAGGTACCTATTTTACTGCTAGGTGAATAGGGACAGCAGGTGTCCTAAAGAAACAAGCCCCCAAATGCTTCCATTCGTACCGGGGATCGAACCACGGACCTCAGTATGTGAGCTGAGTGCCCCACTAACTTAGCTACTGTAAACTATTAATAACACGATATTGCAAGCTTATGTTAAAACGTCGGTATCGATATTTTTTCTAATAATTTCTCAGCAAGTGACTTTCTCCTGCTTGGAGGAGGTAGTCATGCAAGCTCTCCTTTCCTCGGATGCAAAGTGCGTTGATGCCGGTGAAGGGATCTTGATCCTATGAATTGGAGAAGAAACCCCTTCCCTGCCTTGGATCAAATCTTTTTGCTTCCCGTTGCCTAGGTTATTACCCCTACTGATTTAGAGCTTCTCCATAAATCTTACGAAAGCATTGCATAATGGACTCCATCAGAGAACAAGTTTTAATATACACTGGAAGTTTCCCACTATGATTCACAGGCGACACAAAGCTGCAATATCTCAGCTTACATCCACACCCTTGATCAGAAGCTTAAATGCAACGTTGGTCGCATTTAAGCGTTATGTATTAAAAAAAAAATCTCGAATTCGAAGATAACTTACTCACACATGATCAAGAAATGTTAAAATATTTTATTCACAGCGGCACATTAAGAGTAGCTGGAAAAATATTCTTTGTTTATCGTGGCTGCCTGTCCTCCAGATTAAATAACACTGGGATAAATAACAAAAAGGCACAATACCGTGACTGGAACGATACACAAATAACCCGCACATAAAAGAGAGAAGCTTACGACGACGTTTCGGTCCGACTTGGACCATTGACAAAGTCACCTTTGTCAATGGTCCAAGTCGGACCGAAACGTCGTCGTAAGCTTCTCTCTTTTATGTGCGGGTTATTTGTGTAACACTGGGATACCAACCCTCTAGTTTAAGATATCTCGCTTTGCCAGACGTAGGCTTCATGTTTATGACATTTAGTTACATTAATGTAGGTTAATTGATATTAATACATAATTTTAATATATGTTTTTAAAGTGGGCAGCCATAATCGGACCATACTGCATGCAAAAATATTCTTCCCAGTTGGAGAACAGCTCAGGTATGTAATTTGGAAGTTACGAGTAAAATAATACTAACAAAATGGTATAAAACACTTGCCAGCAGCTTGGAAACTATATTAACAACTCGGCATTTCGCTTGAAGATCAAACTTTTACTAACGTCCACGTGTTTAATTAAGACATTTTTAAGTTTGTGTCCCATGTTTTGAAACAGCGTGAAGTAAATTAAACCATACCAGAAACAATATATACTTGTATTAACATCAACCTGAAGTATTTTAAATTTCATACATTAAGGAAAATCAGTTTAACAGTCCTTATATTCTCGAAATGCGCTACTCTGAATAATCGTAAATCTTATTTTCCGGCTTTTACACTAAAGTGAGTGAGTGAGTGTGTGTGTGTGTGTGTGTGTGTGTGTGTGTGTGTGTGTGTCTCAACAATCAATATTTGCACCAATAACTCACTACAGTTGTGACCGGGTGTGGAAGTGTGAATTGCTCATTACACAATAATTTGTTCATGATTGTAGCCATGTATAAACGTAAGTAACCATTCTTACAGTATTCATTACCTTTGTAACTTGTGAGCTCATTACCTTGTACCTAGTTCAGCCATCCAAACTTTGGGGGCCCAGTCCCTGGACCCATTACGTACCTCTGTAATCTGTAAATACCTTTGTAACTTGTCATGATTGTGACCAGACCTACCCGGAGTTCATTACCTTTGTAAATTGTGAGTTCATTACCTTTGTAAATTGTGAGTTCATTACCTCTGTAACTTGCTCAGCTATCAAAACTTTGGAGTCCAGTCCCTGGACCCATTATGTACCTCTGTAATCTTTTGACTACCGCCACAGGATGGGTATGTGGTGCATAATAAACATATTAAACTAACTGGAAGCGGTTACAATAAAGTCAGGAAGACAGAAACTCAAGAAAATCATCTAGAAAGTCACATAAGAGCAGAACTGATACTGGACGAAAGCGGACAGCGTTAATAATTATTTTAATGAAAGCAGTTAAGCTTTCATTCCTGTATTGTTGCACATATTGCAAGGTTGATGCGTTCTGCAATATATCACACAAAACATAGTAGAATTAGAGGCATGAATTGTTTTTCAGAGATACTCAGGACCACTGCCATGTAAGGGTAGGAACAAATAATGGACACTATGATTATAAAGCAGTTCCCCATCTAATAATAATTATAAAGCAGTTCCCCATCTAATAATAATTATAAAGCAGTTCCCATCTAATAATAATTATAAAGCAGTTCCCATCTAATATTAATTATAAAGCAGTTCCCATCTAATAATAATTATAAAGCAGTTCCCATCTAATAATAATTATAAAGCAGTTCCCATCTAATAATAATTATAAAGCAGTTCCGCATCTAATAATAATTATAAAGCAGTTCCCCATCTAATAATAATTATAAAGCAGTTCCCCATCTAATAATAATTATAAAGCAGTTCCCCATCTAATAATAATTATAAAGCAGTTCCCCATCTAATAATAATTATAAAGCAGTTCCCCATCTAATAATAATTATAAAGCAGTTCCCCATCTAATAATAATTATAAAGCAGTTCCCCATCTAATAATAATTATAAAATCTGAGAAACTTGATCTATGTCAACTTTGATTTAGAGAGGTTAAGTGTGACTGTGTCATTGTCCATATTTCGCCCCTCTAACTGGGTTTGCACACACAAGAGTGTGGAGTTTACCTGGAGAAGGTTTTGGGGGTCACCGTCCCCCGCGGCTCGGTCTGAGACGAGGCCTCATGGTGGATCAGGGTCTGATTAACCAGGCTGTTACTGCTGGCCGCACGAAAACTGACGTACGAACCACAGCCCGGTTGGTCAGGTACTGACTTTAGGTGCCTGTCCAGTGCCTACTTGACAGCCAGGGGTCTCTTGGTAATCTCCCATATGTATGCTGTGAGGCAGTTGAACAGTCTTGGGCCCTGGACACTTATTGTGTTGTCTTTCAATGTACTCGTGGCGCCCCTGCTTTTCATTGGGGGAATGTTACATCTCCTGCCGAGTCTTTTGCTTTCATATGGAGTGATTTTCGTGCGCAGGTCTGGTACCAATCCCTCCAGGACCTTCCAAGTGTATATTATCATGTATCTCTCTCGCCTGCATTCCAGGGAATACAGATCAAGGACCTTCAACCGTTCCCAGTAATTTAGGTGCTTTATCGTACTAATGTGTGCCGTGAAAGTTCTTTGTACACTCTCCAGGTCAGCAATGTCGCCAGCCTTGAAGGGGAGTAGATATGTGAATTATTATTATTATTATTATTATTATTATTATTATTATTATTATTATTATTATTATTATTATTATTATGTGAACAAATTACTTGCATGAGGTTAACAGGGCATTGCCTGAATTATTACGTGCAAGTAATTTGGGTGAGGTAAGTGGGACTTAAGTCACAGCAGGTCGCCGAACTGTAATTCCTTCGATGCCCACTCCCTACCACTCAAAAAAAGAAAACTAGACCTGACATTGAATTAATAATTATATTATTAAAACCAGCTACTCTCATAAATTGAAATTGTGGACTGTATGTGATTTGGCTTGCTGGGTACACAAAATTTAATTGGTATTAACACTTACCATTTAATTACTGTAGATGGATCACACCACAACACCTACCTAACACCTAGACCCTACACTGGCCAGCTAGAGATCTAAATGCAATGACTAATGGTGTAGTTTCCTGTGAGTGATGTTCCCTGATCTTCTACCATCCACACGTAAATTTCCTGTCCCAGTTCTTCAGCAAGGGACATTAACATGGGTTCCTAATTACAAATTCAGTAGAAAAACCCCAATTGACCTTCAGAACGCCTGATTACATTGCACAACTTGGTTCAGTGCTCATACATTAAATTTAATATGGCGTCTCCCCTGACACCCCCTTCACTCAAAATTTCTCGAGGGTCCAAATAGCATCACATTTTAATACACAGTTATTACATTATTCATTTATATGTTCTACACTTAGGAAATTATGTAAAAAATTTCCACAGGATAGTCGTCTCTGGTTGAATCGAGTCGAGATTGATGATTGGCAGTATCAAGTCATACTCTACTCATTGGCGTCAGTGGTCGTACCTCATTGCCATCTGCATGAACCTTGCCCGATTTGGGCATGTAGATGGCGGACCTAGAGATTTAGGCTTATCATGGTCTTTATCTGGAGATAATCTCCATGGTGTTAATGTACAAATATCGTCATCAGCAGTGTCGGACACGAAGGTGATGAGATATAACATTTATGGTTGTTCCTGGAAAGAGCGCAAGGCATCATGCAGTCTCCGTAGTTTTCTGTATTCATCAGCAGATGAGAAGCCTATTGAGAATAATAATTAACTCTCGAAATGTAAGTTTCGTATTGATATACACAGATATAGTAAACAAATATTGTTGAGACAAACTATTTGGGGCCCATTTTTTATACTATAGCAGTGCGACGTCGTCCAATAACTTCGGGTATTGCTGATTTGATCTTAATGTATCGTATCTGTCGGCCAGAGCTGAAAATTTTGGCTACTTTTAAGTGTCATTCTGAATAACTGTTGTTGCCTTATCTACTATTTCATCATTACTTAAATCAGTATTTGTGTAGACGTTTCTCAATATTCTGATGCCCATGTCTCGATATATAAATTGTGGAAATTTTTTACACAATTTCCTAAATGTTGAACATATTAATGAATAATATAATCGTGTATTAAAATGTGATGCTATTTGAACCCTTCGAGAAATTTTGAGTGAGAGGTGCCAGAACTTCCGAGGGAGTGACGCTGGAGAGAGAAGACGCCATACTGAATTTAATGTGTGAACATTGGGCTGAATTGTGCAATGTATTCAGGCGTTCTCCAAAATCAACTGGGGTTTTTCGGCCTGAATTTGTAATAGGAAACCATGTTAATGTCCCCTGCTAAAGAACTGGGATAAATAGTGTGGAAAACCCTTAAAATTCGGCAACCAGGAATGAAAAATAGAGGACACCAGTTCTCCCAGGAGCACATCTCAGCTAAGTGATACTTACCCATAATATACAGTAGTTTTTGCATTGGCCATGGTAAATTCTAGCTGCTAGGGTAAGGTTAGGGTGTGTTCCATCAGCAATAAGTGTCCTCCAGTAATTAAATGGTAAGTGCTAATACCAATTTCTTTTGTGTACCCAGTAAGTCTTATCATATACAGTCCACATTATTTTATAATTTACCATTATTGGTATTAATGTTTAATATTGTAATTATTAATTTAATGTCAGGTCTAGCTTTTTGTGAGAGTGGTGAAGAAGTGGGCATCGAGGGAGTTACAGTTCCTCAACCTACTGTGACTTAAGTCCCACTTATCTCACCCAAATTACTTGCCTGTAAATCTCATGCAGGTAATTTTCTCACATAATAATAATAATAATAATAATAATAATAATAATAATAATAATAATAATAATAATAATAATAATTCACATAAATAGTCTTCTTGCTCGCTCGTCGTTTCAGGAATGTTTTCTGTTATTTACTTATCAACCGATCTAGAAGGACAGCAGCATGGCCCCTGGTCTTTTTTCTAGAAGACACCGATTAATTTTGCTTCAGCTGCTACGAGATCACCAAGATTTTGAAAAATTATTTTTTTATAGTTTCACCTCATTTATCAGTCTGTTCGTTTGTTTTCCTCATAACTTATTCCATCATTATCTTTTCAGCTTCATGAACATCATTACGAAACAGAGAAATTAACTTTTTTTCCTGAATAATTTGGATCTCGCTTCCCGCGAGTTTTTGATGTCGCAGCTTGGTGTCTGAGAACGGCAGATAGATTTTTGTCCACCAGATTTATCTGCCTCTGCTTGGCCGTGGTGCTGTGCTTTAGATATTGTCTACGGTAAGAGAAGTGAATCAAGATAGGTAAAGATTTTCTCTAAAGTCTTGCATTATCTACATCAGTTAATTCTTGTTTATACGTAGGACGTTTTCCCAAGCTGTTCTGAAGCAGTTTACGATCATCAGATGTTATTGTTTGCCAACAGAATGGACAAAGCTCCAGTATCTCAGACCTGATGATAAATAATAATGTTTTTCTAGTTTCGGTAGTATTATGATATTGGTATACGTTAGTATTTCATATAGGCTTAATTAATCATCCGGTTATAATCAAGTTATGATTAATTCCGTGTTTTATACACATGAAATTTCGGCCTTATAAAAAACTATTACATTTTTATGAAGGTTTTGTTGACTTTCTCATGGATATCAACATCACTAACAATTATATTCCACGTAATAACGGGGAAAATATTGGGTAGAGTATCGGGTGGAGGTCATCTTGGAAAATCTTATAAAAAAAATATTGGCACAGTATTAACTCGTGGACTTTTCACAATTGAACTTGGTGTACATCCAGGTACAGCTTTCCCTATGTTTTCTGTGTTGCACCCTGCACTATCTTATTGCTATGCAAGCTGCATGGTGACTTGACCTCCAGTGGTCCTTAAACTGCTATAAGCTAATGATGTTTTTCTTCTCTTAGGGTTTCACCTGACGCCCAAGTTGTCTCATGTGTTTCCTGAGTCATGCATGCTGGTTCTGCTGGGTATTGCAATAGGCGTGGTGCTCTACTTCGCGCATGCCGCCACTATCAACCCTTTCACCGCCGACGTCTTCTTCCTCTACCTGATACCCCCTATCGTTCTCGACGCCGGCTACTTCATGCCCAATCGCCTCTTCTTCGACCACCTGGGCACCATTCTCGTCTACGCTGTCCTCGGCACCATCTGGAACTCCTTGACAATTGGTGAGAGATGGTTTATGGTTTAACCCTTTGAACCTGCGTAGCTACTGAACCCAGAGTGAATGATTGGTTGTGTCCTTCCTTTTGAAGGGTGGTTCCTTGATGCTGATGAAGTGCTCGATTCAAGAAATTAAGAGTTACACCTTTAAGAGAGATTAAATCTGATTACCTTCTACTCCTCAGGCGCTGTTTGGTCCTTACGGGTTTAGTGCTCCCTCATGAATATAATTTATCTCCTCTTCGCCGTGACTACAGAAGTGAATTAGACTTATTTAGCATGAGCCATTAGGCCTACTACAGTGTTCACGTATTCTTATGTTCTTTAAGTTTCCTGTTCAGGCTGACATTTCATTACCGTAAGTATGCAACTTGTCCTATGAGGTGGAAATATGGCAGGGAAACAAGGCTAGCATTTGTTCCCACAATGTAACTCATGTACAGTAGGGTAGCACCATGAGCACACGCCTGATGGATCCAGTTTTTAATAAAAATACCTTCCCATGTTATGATAAACGTCGAATTAATCCAAAGCTCTTCCACCCTGCTCCATTTACCTGTTGGATGGCAGTTCACAAGTGATAGTAACTCTATGGCGGAACGAAATATTTGAAGCTCGCGCAGCTGATGAGAACTCTTGCTGGGATACTTGACTATATTCTCATGGCCCCCTCTGAAGTTTCCTTCCTAATTTAGGCTAACACATTTTCAGCACTTCGTATGAACCTCATCCAGAGTGATGGAATATGACAGGGAAACAGCTTTTGTTCCCATTCTGTAACTGTCATATAGAATAGGTTAGCAGCATACTACTGATGTATCCAATTTTACTAAAAAAAAAAAAGCCATATCCAAGATTGTTCAATAAAGAAAGGATTGGTTCTATTAACTAGGCTAATTGTGAATAAAATACCCTAATATTTTACAGTTGTAAGTGACTTAATTTCTTCAGATGGTATTATGTGACCAGAGAAGCTTTAAATCGGCACCACACAGCGGGATCCAGAGACTGTTCTCTGACAGTTCGTCCTCCTACAGGTGTCTCCATGTATGCTGTAGGTTTGACGGGAATATTTGGCACCAGTGTCCCCATTCTGCACATGTTCCTCTTCTCGTCCCTCATCTCTGCCGTGGACCCCGTGGCTGTGCTTGCTGTCTTTGAGGAGCTTCATGTGGATGAGGTGCTCTACATCCTAGTCTTCGGAGAGTCATTGCTTAACGATGCTGTCACTGTGGTGAGTATCTAAACATTAAGATAGGTCATGGCAATCTTCATTTGGAAAAGAACACTAATACTGCATAGCCCACTTAAATGTTATAGTCGTTTAAAAATAAGCAAAATATTTTTTTTAGTGGAGTGGTAAATATATGGAACAAATTGTCAGACGACGGAATTGAAAGTGCGCCTAATTATACTTAAAAACGGGCCGAATAAATACTTTTCTCTCAATTGTTGGCTTTGTTCCATGCAGTGGCTACTCACTCTGCCTAAGCACCTTTGCTCAACCCCACTAACACCTGTCCCAGCAGTCTGACAGCAATCTTATCAACACCATTACCAATGAAAATTTTGCCCTGGACATGTGTTAATATTTGCGCACTCGACAAAAAACACAAAATGCGTTTTTAATGGAAGAGACTGACGTTGCATCAAGGCAGCCAGACACAATAGTTTGGTTACCTCCCTTGTTATTAGTACAGTTTACTAATGAGTGTGGGTTCTGACACACAGAATGACCATTGTATCTTTATTCTATGCTCATTAATGTAATTAGGTCAAAGGAGAAAGTCGTTAGGATTGGGAAAATCCCAATTAATACATTAGTTCACCGGAGAATTATAGTCATATTTATTAATTTATATGTATTGGAATAATTTAATTTAAATAGACGGTTCTGCAGCAAGATTATCTTTGTTTCATCTTGCAATAGATTACGAAGTGGACAATAATAAAAAAATATTTCTCTAATTATAATAAACTTCATGTTTAATTTAATGGATCAAAATTGCTAGAGGTTTCGTTAAAGTAGCTGGAACCAGAATCCATTTAAAGTTGGTCTTTTCAAAAAGTTTATATGAATTAGAAATGTAATATTTTCTGTGTGAATTATTTACCAGATCAAATGTTCAATATTTATTAAAATATAATTCTAGATAATCAAGGAACTGCAACCTAACAATGCAGGTTTGTTGCCTGTTAATTACTGCATTATAACTAATATAGTGCTCATTTTTATATGTATTTGTATCTTTATATGTAAGTGATTAAATATTTAATCATGTCACGTTCGAAGATTATTACAACTTTAAATCTCATTTAGTAAACAAGGTGGCATTCGAAAATATTAGAAACATTTAAGTCCACCTACCAGTTTACAGCTAGTCTACTACCCTGAAAGCAAGTATAAATCTTTGCATTATTAAAGTCACTATCACTTAAAGCCGGAACTAGCCGAAGTGGATTTTCACTGAAGGACTAATATTCACAATTAACAAAAATGGGTTGTATCTCTGTCAGTAGTGGCTTTGGCTTTCGCTTTTGTCAAAAATTTATAAGGAAGTTTTACACTTGCTGCCCCTGTTTACCAATAAATATGTATTTGAGCCTAGTTTTTAAAGAGCTGCGGTAAAATCATAGTATGAATGAGAGATTGTCCGTCTCTTAATGTGGTCTATCTTATTCTTGTAGGTGCTGTATAATATGTTCGCTGGTTACAGTACTATGGGGCTAGACAACGTCCAAGTAGTGGACATTTTCAGCGGAATATTATCCTTCATTCTGGTGTCCATAGGAGGTACGGCTATTGGCATCGTCTGGGGCTTCCTCACTGCCTTTGTCACAAGGTAAAACACTGCCCAATCATGATAATTGAGTTTGTTTCTTGCAGGGTTGGGTCTAATTTTCAAGAACAGTACAGTAATTGTTTCAATTCTCGTGCAAGACATTCAGAATCTTACAATGCAGTGCCACCGTGTTAATAGCCTGGTAGTGGTAATGTGCTATAAAGTAGACTTAACATCGCCAGCAAGTTGTAGAGTGTAGACCAGCACCCATTCTGGGGAGGTGTCTTGACACCGTTGAAGGGTTCTTGATCCAAAGATGGTGCTGTGATCTCTTTCCTTGGATAGAATCTGATAGTTTTCCTTTCCCCAAAGGCGCTATATGACCCTTATATTTTAATCACAAGAACTTATGACCCCTACCGGTCTACCTTTTTCCCCATGTAATTAATAAAATAAATGTAGATCAATATAACATAATAAAAGCAGGACCTGAGCACAAGCTCTCGCAATGGAGATGCCAGTCATAAAACTGGTATCATATACCAGTCAGGCTTTTATGTGTCACAGTGAAATACCGCGGCATTGCAGCAGTATTGACAACAGTGTTTACTTTTGAAGTGCAAAAACTCCAAGAAGGATGCCACAAAGTATCAGTCCCAGATGCTCGTGTATGAACCTAAGGTTAGGGTAAGTAGGGTAAGATACCCCAGGAAACAGGTCATATGATAATCCACCACTAAAGCTTTTTGTCATATGACAGAAACTTACTGCTCCACTTTTTAAGAATTAAGGGCAACATCATTTGATGTTGGTTAGATGTCACTGATTACTTCCAAGGAGACAGCATTTTGAACATGGTCTGGCGACCAGGGTACGATTACTGAATATCATTTGAGGAAGCAATGTTAAGGGAAGAAAGGAACATTGAAACATTTAGAAAGACTTTCCAGAAGGTCATCTGTAGACTGGTATAATGTTGTAGAGAAAAGGGAGATTATTATTGTATGAACTAAACCCGCTTTAGTCAAAGTACCTGTGGAATGTGATGAGGTTTGGTCCAAGGTAGGGGAGGATAGCTCTGATGCCTTGTATCAAAACCCCTTAACCAGCATCAAGACATCCCTCCCCATCTTGAAGGATGAAAAACAGAAGACGACCTTGCGAGTTCCCCGTCACGAATAAACACTAAATTACAAAAAATGTAGCCTACGAGAGAGCTTTAAATGTGATTTAGACTGGTAAAGAACATAATGAAACTCTCATGTTCTTTTATGGATATCCAGCCATCACAAAAATCGGTTAAATAACTTAACATGATAGGCTGAGGGCTACACCGATAAAGTGAAACGAGGCATGACAGGCTGATTTCAGACACATTTTGCATGTTGTACAAATTACATAGTGAACCCAGGACATGAGAAAAGGAACAGTTTGAATCTCGCCAGACTACAGTTCTGGATAGAAAACTAACTTCTTTCAGTAAATAGTGAACCAAATCTTTTTAAGCCAAGCCTGCCACGGTTCAAAAATCACATGTAAATCTCGTAAGGCAAATGGAGACTCAGCAGCAGCCGTAGACCAACTCCACCCGAAGTCGCAGAGGCTTTCAGATTTATGGTTCAAAGGCTGGGATGAGAGGATGTAGCTTACGATGACTTCTTAATCCAATGTGTGCAGCACAGAGATATACTTTTTAAATAAAAAAATAACAATATTTATTTGTATTAATCCAGTATATTGTAATTTGCGTACCTGTTAATTTATTTACATGTTAATCCTTCCTTGGTGAGAAACTTCCGATGCTGTAATAGAATATATTGTATATCAGAATTATAAAAGCAACTAGGTTTGCATACTTTGTTATTTTAGCTACATTACTGTATTTATTACGATACCATTTATGTAAGCTTGTTCTTGTACTGCATTTTAATAATACATAGTAAAACTAATAACAATTTTGTCTTGTTCTTTCACCATAGGTTTACTAGAGGAGTGCGCGTGATAGAGCCGATCTTCGTGTTTGTCATGGCCTATTTGGCTTATCTTAATGCCGAGATATTCCATCTGTCTGGTCTCTTGTCGTAAGTTGATCTCGTGGGCCAATGTTTTTGTTGCATGATGAAGCATACAGGTTTTGTGCATATAATTTATAAACACTAAAGTTTTTTATTAAAATCATTATGCAAATAATTAACCAAAATATTCATATCGAAAGTTGTAAATAGATTTTATGATTGAAATAAGGCGTATTAGTGTTAACGAAAGAATGGAAATTATTTTCTGTAAACTAGGGACTGCATCAGGAATGTGTGATGTTTATTCCTGTTAAGTATATCAATATTTGGTATTATCTAATGTCATCTCCAAACATCTCCAAAATTCAAGGTACTTTGAATTTTAATTCTTCGTTTACATTTTATTGTAATGGTGGGAATTTTAATTTTATCTATTCTCCTCAACAGCATCACCTTCTGTGGTATTACCATGAAAAATTATGTGGAGCAAAATATATCTGATAAGTCTCAAACGACTATAAAACACGCCATGAAGATGTTGGCGTCATCCTCAGAAACTGTTATCTTCATGTTCTTGGGAGTTTCCACGGTACAAAGCAGTCATGAATGGGACACTTGGTTTGTCATGTTGACTATTATCTTCTGTTCTCTCTACAGAATTCTAGGTGAGTCAATGGTAATTTAGATTTTGTGTGACTTTTTCCGGAAATTCTAAATGTATCAAAAACGCCTCAAAACTGTTCGGAGAGGAAATGTGAAATAAATATAAATTTTCTCCCTTTTTGACAGGGATTGTATAGGCTATATGTTTGAAAACGGTGATGAAATTGAAAATTTTTATAAATAATATTTTTCACGCTAGTTAATTTTTGTTAAATGACAATGGTGGGCATACACTATCTTTAAAATCCAGAGTGTTTTTAAGCGCTACCATTATTTATATTTTAAGTAACAGTAACCCAGAAATTAAAAATGGAAACTTGGCAACATTTTTGGCTCGTCCTGGATTATTATATTTCAACTTAATATGTCCAGAACAGACCGAAACATAATTTCAGTTTCAAAATTTGTGGGTTGGCCATTCTTTAGAAGTCTTATATAGCTATTTCAGTTTTCTTACATATATTTCCCTTCCGTTTCCAGGTGTCTGGCTATTGACTGCAATGTGTAATCGGTACCGTGTCAAGAAGATTGAGTTTGTGGACAAGTTCATCTTGTCCTATGGTGGGATCAGAGGTGCGGTTGCCTTTGCCTTGGTGCTGACCATCGATCCCCAACAAATTCCGATGCAGCCTATTTTTCTTACTGCAACTATGGCTATGGTCTACTTTACTGTCTTCTTACAGGTGAGTATTTGATGCCATTTTCCTTCAAGGAGAGTGTTTTGATGCTGTTGAAGGGCTCTTGAAATAAAAAAAGAATTACATCCTCTTCACCATTCCTTACAGCTTAATCGTCTCTGAATATAATAATTTGAAGTCTCTTATCAGTAGACAGTAGATACATTTCAGTAATCAATACGATAAAAAAAAAATATTTCTTTTTACCACATAAGCCGTCTCCCAACAAAGTAGGGTGATCAGGAGAGGAGGCACTCATTCAGTCAGTCTTGTCAGAAATGAACAGAAATTATTTCTCAAGTGATCTTTCGAACTGAAATACACTCGAGCGGAAGGCCTCGGTCAGAAGACGAAAAGTTCCAGCTGCGGGCCATGATGAAGACCTGCGGGGTCAGGAAACACTGGTCCTGTTTGCTTACAAACCTTACCTAACATAACATAAGCATAAACACCCTTCAGCATACCGGAACTTATTTATAAATATTTTTTGGACATGATTTAAAATTAGTCAACTTTCTTTTCCTAGTTTTATTGATGTTTCAACCTGGCTGTATTTTTTAAGAATATTTTACCAAGCAGGGTGTCACCAACAGAACACATCAAACCTCTTACAATACAGTTTTAACACAACATATGGGAAACTTTACTGAAGAAACGTTTCGCCACATAGTGGCTTCATCAGTCCAATACAAAGCTGTCAGACACTACAATATCATGGGATCTTGATACAAAGAATTCTTCAACACTTGTCCAACCTTTGGACGAAGACCTACTTAGACTAGTGGATGGTTCCGCTATGACCCCGCCTCCTCCTGCTTCGCCTCACCTGACTACAGTATATAAGCCACTGCTCCGGACCTATGCTGTACAAGACGGGTCATCGCAAGATTGAGACCCGTGCCAGGACTACGGTCTTGGTGAACATTATACATACATACCTATGCTGTACATTCTACAAGACTGATGGACTGAACACATCGACTCCAGGCTGAGGGACTGATTACCACAAACTCGTCCTCTCCTTACACCTTTCTGCTTTGTATTGGACTGATGAAGCCACTGCATGGCGAAATGTTTCTTCAGTAAAGTTTCCCATATGTTGCATAAGTGTCTCAATCTTCAACTTGTCGTTTTTTTAACCATTTATCACTAAAAATACTGTTTTAGGTATCACCAAATCACTTTACAAAATTATTTTACCACACAGGGTATCACCATCAAACCTCTTACGATAATGCTGGGAGTAAAGAAAGCAGTGGAGCGAACACTCACCATGAATGAGCGACTCCATGAAAGGGTAAATATGAACTACATTATATATATATATATATATATATATATATATATATATATATATATATATATATATATATATATATATATATATATATATAATATATAAACATAAACTTGGAGAGTGTATAAATCTGTAGTGGAGGGGTAGGGGTCGTCCCCGAAAAGGTTGGAGGGAGGGGCTAAAAGAGGTTTTGTGTGCAAAAACATTAGACATGCAACAGGAATGTGTGAGCGTGTTAGGAGTGAATGGAGATGAATGGTTTCTGGGACATGAAGAACTGTTGGAGTGTGAGCAGGGTAATATTTTGTGAATGGATTCAGGGAAACCGGTTAGCCGGAATGAGTCTTAGAGTTGGGAAGTACAGTGCCTGCTCTTTCAAAATCCACGGATCGTACTTCAGCAAATATCCTCAGATCACTAGTTCATCAAACAGTCTTAGAGGTGGCATTGTGATCATTAGGCACAATAATTTCGCATGAGAAAAAGAAACAGATGAGGTCATCTTCAGCAGATTATTTTTGTGGACGAGCACCTAATCGTTATATCGAAATTTGTAGTATTCCTCTAGTGTTTCATAGTCTACATTAGGGTTAGTTTGTGTAATTTTCGATGTGTATGACACTTTGTTTGAATATGAACATAGAAATATAAGCTATATTTTTTATGCACCGTTTTAGCCAGCTTTATTAGCACTTTATAATTTTATTGAGAATTTTTATGATTTGTACTGCTCAGAATTAATAATGTCGTGTATAATTTACAGTCATTTGACTACATCACAGCCGGCATTGAGGATGTGGCAGCCAGGCACGGTAACCTACTCTTCAGAAAAAAGTAAGTTTACTGTTATAATGTTATGTACTTTCCTAATTACTTCATAAAGCCTTAACAATTTTTGGTGTAGTCAATTTGTATCAGATTTCTAATAGCGTGGATAATCATCACTGAGTTCAAGATGGAACTAATACAAATTTTTGAAAAAAAATTGTTATTCCTTCAGCTGATTTTAGTCTAATCATTATCTGCAGGTCTGTTAAAGTATATGGGATCCAAAACTATCCTCCTATTTAAATTTGTTTTCTGTATTTTCTCCCACTGACTGATACCTAGAATTTTTCCATTTTTATTTTTTTTTCTTCTTCTACAGTATATATTTGCTGAAATTAAAATGAATGTAATTATTGTTATTGAAAGCTAAACATTTTCCTCTGTTTTACATAAAATGTTGAGCATTTCATATTTGGAATTTCCTCTTGGTCTTGGTACCAGCATAATTTTATTAGCATTTTTTTTTAGTTTAATAAGATCAGTGTAGAACAGTGTGGTATCTGTTGTTCCGTCAGTTCAGCAGGCTTCCTCAGTCGAGATACAGAGACAACAGAGGTGGTGGATATGTAGACATAAGGCGATTCGTCCCTCACTCTTAACGTAGTAGTTTGAGGTGGTCAGTCCCTCGACGTTGGTCATTGTTCAACTCCACAGCTTTGATTAATCTTAGTAGGCGAAACGTTTCGTCAGTGAAGATTCTAAACTGTTTTATATGTAATTTAAACCCCTAGTGGTATGCATTCTTAATGTAATTTTCCTTACAGGTTCAAGAGATTGAACCATAAATACCTAACACCATTCTTAGTCCACAAGAATAATGTAATGGAACCTAAATTCATTGAAACATTTAGCAACATCAAGATGCAAGAAGCTATTAATTACATGGAAAATAATGACAGTGCTTCCAACGATACAAAGTCATTTACCAATTTATTACGAAATGCTGTAACTCATCCATAGTAAGTATTTTTAATTATATTTTCCTTTCTGTACTAGATTATACTTGTTAAAATGTGTTTAAACTCAGTCATAAAAATTATCTCTGCAATATTTGTCATTGAATCTACAAAAAAACATTAATTTGCATAAAAAAACACGTAATTTATTAAAGTCACTTATTTAATTTATTGAAGGTAATTTTTAATATAATTTGTGTAGTATAGCACCTATTACAATATAAGATTACTATAACAGTCAAAATATATGGGAAAAATCACTTGTCTTTCAGTCTGCAGAAGAACAACCAGGGTGAATGGAACCTTGACGTTGGAGAACTGGAATACAAGAGAGGCATGAAGGATATTGATGATGCTAAATTGAATCATCTCCTATCTATTGACTATATAGCTAGGAGGCGAGTAAGTATGCAAAAATCCAGTGGCGAACCTACATTTTTGGGGCCCCTGAAGCTTGAACCGTTATGGGGGCCCCTTCGCAACCCCTTCTCATACAGTAGACCCAAAATTTTTTATTTTTTTTACTATATTGCTATGAGGCGAGTAAGTATACAGGAATCTGTGAAAATGCATTCCTTTTTTAAGAATATTTTTTTGTATTTTTTAACTGATCTATGTATTAAAACCTTTGAGGTCTTATTGTAATAAATTTAAAGATTATAGTTATACCAGTAATATCTAGAACAAAATCATTATAAAGGTTAGCTTAATTTGATAAATCTATAAATTTTCTTAAATAATGTAAATTTATACAATAATTCTGAAGGCACATAAAAGCTTCAGGCGTTCTTTTGATGATAATACTATATAATGTAGGTTGTCTGTGTAAAATATTAATCGGTACTAAATCTATGATACTTCTTCCCTCAGCACCAAAGTTTAACCTACTTAAGACATGCAGTAAAGGATGATGAGTGGAAGACACGGAATGAAGCCATGCATCGTAATATGTATCTGTACTCACGCAAGTTTACCAGCAACACCAGGAAACAGAGCACCAGAAAAAGAGTAAGTAATGTATGCATAATATATATATATATATATATATATATATATATATTATATATATATATATATATATATATTATATATATATATATAATATATACATATATTTATATATATATTTTTTTTTTTTTTTTTTTTTCAACAAGTCGGCCGTCTCCCACCGAGGCAGGGTGACCCAAAAAAAAAAGAAAGAAAATCCCCAAAAAGAAAATACTTTCATCATCATTCAACACTTTCACCACACTCACACATTATCACTGCTTTTGCAGAGGTGCTCAGAATACAACAGTTTAGAAGCATATACGTATAGAGATACACAACATATCCCTCCAAACTGCCAATATCCCAAACCCCTCCTTTAAAGTGCAGGCATTGTACTTCCCATTTCCAGGACTCAAGTCCGACTATATGAAAATAACCGGTTTCCCTGAATCCCTTCACTAAATATTACCCTGCTCACACTCCAACAGATCGTCAGGTCCCAAGTATCATTCGTCTCCATTCACTCCTATCTAACACGCTCATGCACGCTTGCTGGAAGTCCAAGCCCTCACCCACAAAACCTCCTTTACCCCCTCTTTCCAACCCTTTCGAGGACGACCCCTACCCCTCTTTCCTTCCCCTATAGATTTATATGCTTTCCATGTCATTCTACTTTGATCCATTCTCTCTAAATGACCAAACCACCTCAACAACCCCTCTTCTGCCCTCTGACTAATGCTTTTATTAACTCCACACCTTCTCCTAATTTCCACACTCCGAATTTTCTGCATAATATTTACACCACACATTGCCCTTAGACAGGACATCTCCACTGCCTCCAACCGTCTCCTCGCTGCTGCATTTACCACCCAAGCTTCACATCCATATAAGAGTGTTGGTACTACTATACTTTCATACATTCCCTTCTTTGCCTCCATAGATAACGTTTTTTGACTCCACATATACCTCAACGCACCACTCACCTTTTTTCCCTCATCAATTCTATGATTAACCTCATCCTTCATAAATCCATCCGCCGACACGTCAACTCCCAAGTATCTGAAAACATTCACTTCTTCCATACTCCTCCTCCCCAATTTGATATCCAATTTTTCTTTATCTAAATCATTTGATACCCTCATCACCTTACTCTTTTCTATGTTCACTTTCAACTTTCTACCTTTACACACATTCTCAAACTCATCCACTAACCTTTGTAATTTTTCTTTAGAATCTCCCATAAGCACAGTATCATCAGCAAAAAGTAACTGTGTCAATTCCCATTTTGAATTTGATTCCCCATAATTTATATATATATATATATATATATATATATATATATATATATATATATATATATATATATATATATATATATATATATATAATATATATATATATATATATATATATGGAGGGGTGTTAATGTTGCAGTTTAAAAACTGTAGTGTAAATCACCCTTCTGGCAAGACAGTGATGGAGTGAATGATGGTGAAAGTTTTTCTTTTTCGGGCCACCCTGCCTTGGTGGGAATCGGCCAGTGTGATAATAATAATATATATATATATATATATATATATATATATATATATATATATATATATATACATATGTGTGCGTGTGTGTGTGTGTATACTCACCTATTTGTACTCATTTATTTGTGGTTGCAGGGGTCGAGTCTTAGCTCCTGGCCCCGCCTCTTCACTGGTTGCTACTAGGTCCTCTCTCTCCCTGCCCCATGAGCTTTATCGAACCTCGTCTTAAAATTATGTATGGTTCCCGCCTCCACTACGTCACTTTCTAGGCTATTCCACAGCCTGACAACTCTGTAACTGAAGAAATACTTCCTAACATCCCTTTGACTCATCTGAGTCTTCAACTTCCAATTGTGACCTCTTGTTTCTGTGTCCCTTCCCTGGAACATCCTGTCTTTGTCCACCTTGTCTATTCCGCGCAGTATTTTATAAATCGTTATCATGTCTCCCCTGACCCTCCTGTCCTCCAGTGTGTGTGTGTGTGTGTGTGTATGTGTGTGTGTGTGCTCACCTAGTTGAGGTTGCAGGGGTCGAGTCCAAGCTCCTGTGTGTGTGTGTGTGTGTGTGTGTGTGTGTGTGTGTGTGTGTGTGTGTGTGTGTGTGTGGTGTGTTTGTGTGTGTGTGCATGTGTGCGATAAGATCACAGAAAACAGGTGATATCAGTATATGCAAAACAATCACTGTGAAAGGATAGTGAAATTCCAAGCGCTTTCGTGACTTCTCATAGTTCCTTGATAATAAAATTTGGGAATAATTTAATAATACATTGGACAAATAATAAATCTTAATTCTTGGGTAGAATATTTTGTTAGTGGGATGTCGTGAAGAACCTGTCTAGTTGGGCCAGCGGGCCTGCTGCAGTGTTTCTCCTTTCTTATGAGTCCGGTGTTGTCGCGCATCAGGTGTTGCTTTGTTGTGGGATGTGATGGTGAAGTGTGGTCTAGACCATTTATATGCCTTTCTTTGATGTATTACTTTTATAGTTCCTTGATAATATGAGAAGTCACGAATAAGTAAGTAAATAAGTAAGTTTATTCAGGTATACACAAATACAGTTATATAGAATTATCATACATAGCAGCATATGTGTAGAGAACCTGGGATAACCCAAAAAAGTCAGACACAGTGACTTATTTCCATTGGGGTCCTTTTACCTTATTATTATAATATAAAGGTTATAATATTTTTTATTATTCTACAATGAAGATAACATCTTATTATCATACTAAAAAGACTATCTACTACACGAGGGTCATTAAGACTATCTACAATACGAGGGTCATTACTAGGAATAAGGTAAAATTTACACGTATGTTAGCTAAAAAATAGAAAATCATTCCCCTCCCTTTCTGTAGCTACATTCATCAGACACCTTTTGGCACTCTTCTTGAACTGGTTCATGCTATGACTGGCTTTGACATGTGCGGGTAGTCTGTTCCATTCCTTTATTGCTGTACAATAAAAGGTGTTTGAAGCCTGGCCAATGACTGTGGGTACTACAAAGTTGTGCTCTCTCCCCCTAGTACTATGATTGCTTTGGTTCCCAACCTTGGAATTTCACTATTCTTTCACAGTGGTTGTTTTGCCAACACCTGCCTGGCTGGGCGAATCCCAGAAGAAATTAAACCTTTCTTTTTTGGAGCCTCACTATGTGATTTGAAGAAGGATGGGGGAGTCAAACCCATTGCTGTTGGTAACACTCTTCGCCGTCTCGTTGCCAAAGCAGCAGTAAGAAACATTCGCCTAGAAGCTGCCAGTTTTACTCCAGCCACACCAACTGGGCATTGGGGTCTTCCAAGGCAGTGAAGCCGCAGCTCATGCGGCAAGGGCCTACATCAAGGACCTACCAGAAGACAAGGCCGTAGTCAAACTTGATTTTAGAAATGCCTTTAATATGGTGAAGAGAGATGTTGTCTTGCCGGCCGTTCGGGATCTGTTCCCCAGTCTTTTTCCCTTCATTTCAGCCGGCTACAGCAAACCCTCAGTCCTTTTGTTTGGAGAACATGAAATTCTCTCATCAGAGGGTGTTCAGCAGGGTGACCCACTAGCTCCACTTCTTTTCTGCTTGGCAGTAAGAGAACTAACTTCCAGCCTACGCAGCGAGCTCACATCTGGTACTTGAATGATGGCACTCTGGCAGGTACTGAAGAGTCCCTGTTAGATGACCTACAACTGGTGAAAATACAGGGAGAAGACTTGGGACTCATTGTCAATCCCTCCAAGTGTGAAATCATCACAGCGAACCAGGAAATAACCAATGCCGTGTGAAGAACCCTCCCAGAAGTCTCTACTTCCACTCCGTCCAACAGTACCCTCTTGGGAGCACTGCTGGGTCACCAGGCCATCGACACTGCCCTCAAGGACAAATTGAATGACCTGATGAGAATGGAGGAGAGAATAAACGATCTTGATGCCCATTGATGCTCTGTACCTCCTCACAAGGTGTCTTACTATGCCAAGACTCACTTACTTCCTGAGGTGTGCACCCTCTTTTGACAACTCAACACTCGACGAATACGACGCACACCTGAGATCAACCTTTAAGAAGGCACTGAACCTGTCACTAGGAACTAGGCCCCAAAAGGGTTAACAGGTGTACATATGGGTTTATGTCTACATATCTACAGTCCACTAATCATTTACAAGCAAATTTAGGAAATTTGTTTAGTATATCTGGCATCTTATTTTCATTAATAAGATATCTTGACATGGCACATAGGTTATTATACTGTCTATCTCTGTATTCCTCAATAAGTGGACAATTAAGCACACAGTGTTCAAGACAGTGACCATATGCCTGATCACATAATTTACATTTAGTTTGATCATCATCTGCGTGTCTCCCAAACTTCCAGAAGTACTTGTAACCAAGCCTAAGCCCGCATGTAGCTTTACCTGCTTTTCTGTCTTCGTGTTTGGCTTCCAGTGCTTTAGTCAAGAAGATTGTCCCCAAACGCTTAAGAGACGTGGTAGGAGCTCAAGACCCTAAATTTACTGAAGCAGCGATGCGGTGGGACACCCTTACAGACTTCTCCAGTAGACCAGCTCCTCCCAAAGAGCACAAACAGTCCCACTGGGACAAACCAATCATGGAAAAAATCCCTAACACAATGCTCACCAACGCTTCAGGAAAGGACAAAGCTCGTCTCCTGGCAGTGAAGGTACAACACTTAGGAGATTTCCTTTTAGCTGTTCGCAATTCCTCCCTGGGCACTCGACTCGACCCACAGGCCATTCGGATTGGTGTTGCTCTTCGCCTAGCCGCCCCCATCCTCACTGAACATAGGTGTATTTGCGAACCATACCACGGGCGGGGATAGAACCCGCGATCAGAGAGTCTCAAAACTCCAGACCGTCGCGTTAGCCACTGGACCAGCTAGCCACAATAAGATTCGTCCAACTAGGTATATTTCTACACCATAGGAAGGTTAGCATAGGCACCACTGAGACCACAAATGCACGTTTTTACAGACGAATCTCCAGCTAGCGTGGCCGTGACGAACTCTAGCTCAAGTCCCCTCAAAGCGTTAACTCCAGACCGTGGCTAACGCGACGGTCTGGAGTTTTGAGACTTTCTGATCGGGGGTTCTATCCCCGCCCGTGGTATGGTTTATTTGCAATTGTGTCATTACGATTTCGTGAATCGTGTATTTACGGCAGGGCGACTGCCGATCAATTCGGACTTCATGGTCTCGTGTGTCACACAGCAGAAGGGAAGTATGCCAGACATGAGGAGGTCAGTGACATCATAAAGAGAAGCCTCGCCACAGCCCGTTGCCCAGCTCAGCGGGAACCCCGAGTGCAGAGGTCTGACGGAAGTCAAAAGCGTCCTGTTGGAGCCACTATGCTACCCTGGAAGGATGGAAAGTAGATTGCCTGGGACTACACCTGTGCCGCCACATTGGCAGACACCTACTTGCAATACTCCGAAGCTGAAGGGGGTGGAGCTGCCAGCCACAGAGAGACCCAGAAGATCCGCAAAAATGAAGACCTTCCCCCTTGTTATAACTTCATCCCAATAGGGTCGGAGACCCTTGGAGCATGGGGAAAGTGTGCTCTAAAGTTACTCAAAGAGCTGGGTGAAAAGCTCATCATAGAAACCAAGGACCACAGGGCGACCAGCTTCCTCTTTCAGAGACTCAGTGTCGCGATCCAGAGAGGAAATGCCTGCAGCATTCTGGGCACTCGGCCGACTGTCAGGGAGCTGGACGAAGTATTCGAGATGTAGCTCTGAGTTGTTATCTATGTTTTGTCACTATATATATATATATTTTTTTTTTATCACACTGGCCGATTCTCACCAAGGCAGGGTGGCCCGAAATTGGAGCACGCATCAATAACTGGGCCTCTACCCTTCACACAGAACTGTTTGCCATACTTCTTGCACTCAAATGCGTCCATGTATCTAAGATTGACACTTTAATTGTAGCTGATTCTCTGTCATTCATAAATGCTCTCAACTCATTAAGTATAAATTGTGGCATGATTGTGTCAGAAGCCAGACACAGGTATGGTAAGATTGTGGACAGTGGAGTCAGAGTGCACATGCTGTGGATTCCATCTCACATTGGTCTTCAGATGCATGATAGAACTGATAAATTGGCTAAGCTGTATGCTTTCAAAGAGGGAGTAGATTACAATCTTGGCTTGTCAGGTAGTAGTTTGAGAACAATAATACGAAAAGAACTTCGAATGAACTTTATTGACTTAAGACTTAGGGAGATTGACACAAGTCAGTCCATCTATCATCATTCCATCATGCAGGAGGAGCCACATGTAGACCAAACGAAATGTAAATTTTGCCAGATAGACTATTGTCACACCCTGCGTCATTATGTACTGGAGTGTGATCAAATTAATGAATTTAGAAACAACTCACTCATAAATGTTCACGAAATGGCAAAGTATTTTATCCACAGTGGTATATTACAGACCATTCTGGAGAAATACCCCGACTTTGCTAGCTGTAAATAAAGCATTACTCATTACAATTGTGACCAGGTGTGGACGTATCAGTGGCTCATTACTTTGTAATTTGTTCATGACTGTAACCATGTATAGGAGTGAGGCTGATTCATTACCTCTGTAACTTGCAATGATTGTGACCAGATCTACCTGGAGTTCATTACCTTTGTATCTAGTTCAGCTATCATAACTTTGGGGTCAGTCCCTGGACCCATTATGTACCTTTGTAATCTTTTGACTACCGCCCACAGGATGGGTATGGGGTGCATAATAAACATATTAAACTAACTACACACACACACACACACACACACACACACACACACACACACACACACACACACACACACACACACACACACACACACACACACACACACACACATATATATATATATATATATATATATATATATATATATATATACATACATACTATATTAACACATCGGCCGTCTCCTACCTAAACAGAATGATCTGAAAGAGAAACACTTTCACTATCATTCAGTAAGATGTAAGCGCAGATATGACAGTTTAGATGTCCTTCCAAACAGCAAATATCCCAACCCCTCCTTCAGAGTGCAGGCACTGTATTTACACCTTCAGAACTCAAGTCCGGCTAACCGGTTTCCCTGAATTCCTTTACAAAATATTACCTTATTTACACAATGAAATAGCTTGGCTATATTATATAGACTTTCCGCAAAACTTGGTCTCGATTGGCAACCAAACTCTATAGTAGTATGAATCTGAAGGTTGTGTAACATTAATTCTTAACCTATATTTAAGAAACTCATGGAGTGAAGTTCCTAAGACTCCGCATATTTCTTTTATTTTGCAGGTAGAGAATGGTGAGCCAGGGCAGCCAGTGGCAGGTGACGGGCGGGAATCTTTCCGCAAGATTGGTTCTGATATTAAACTTGAGAGTGGTGAGTCATTTCTCTCAGTTTTATGATCAAGTGGAAGCGCTAAAGTGGGGAGGGGGTCTTAGTGCATCTGGTGAATGTGAGATAGTCATATTTGATCCAAGGCGGGGGAAGGCTGCGACAGTTCCTTGCATCAAAAGCTTTTTTTTTTACTACCATTGAGGACTCGCGTTTACTCTTTGAAGGGGTGGTATAAGCCTTTTTTTATAATCAGGAAGCGCTAAACCCACGGGGTTCACATAGTAACTGGAAAAAGGAGAGATATTCAAGTTTGATCCGAGGAGGGGAAGGATAAATCTAGTTCCTTGGATCAACTCTACACCGTCATCCAAGCATATTCTCGAGGGATTTATACGCCTCTATAACTTCTTTATATAATAAATTTATACTTTGTGTATATTATATGGTGAGTTAAAAATAGCAATAACGTTTTAAATTCTTAATTGTATGAACTGTCTTATCTGAGCACCTCTGCAAAGAGAGTGATTATGTATGAGGTGAAAGTGTTGAATGATGATGAAAGTATTTTCTTTTTGGGGATTTTCTTTCTTTTTGGTCACCCTGCCTCGGTGGGAGACGACTGAGTGTTAAAAAAATGAACCTTGCCTGGAAAATGAATACAAAATACATTTGTTCTTTCACCAATGTTAGCCATTAATGGCCTCTTCAAGGGGGGCTCCTTGTCGTAGTGAAGAGGCTCTTGGTCTGAGGAATTAGACCTGTTGGTCTCCTTCCTCAGACCGAACCTAATTACCCCCAATCCCCCCTTCCCTACCCCATCCTCCCCATCCCCCCTTTTCCCTTTCCTGCTCCTCCTGCTCCTGCTCCTCCTCCCCATCCCTCCCTTATTCCCTTCCTCTTTTTGGCCTGTGGGATTCTTCCCACAGGCACGCTGGTTCCTAGGTAGGGGAAAGGGTACCGGGGTCCATCCCATTCCGTTGAGGTTCTTGGCGGTGGCATAGTTTGCCATGGAATCTGGATCGCCTGTGGATGTCCCGATCCCTCTCTGGTATCCCGGGGGGGGGGGTGGCTTTGGGTGTCTTTCGGGCGATGGGTGTATCTCTGGAAGCTGCCTTTCGGATTCGGGGGGTGATGGTCGAAGGAGGTATGCTTTGTGGCGAATATCCAGCCGGCCTCTCTTTTGTCCACCGAGGTAGCTCGGCAGATGTAAGGTTGCTATCCCGGATTGCTGGTTTACTGGCATGAAGGGTAGGGTATGGCACGGGTTCCATGCTGCATCTGAGCTACTTGTGGTGCTGAGGTCCTCTTGAGCGCGGAGAGAGATTTCCGGCCCTTTCATTCCTCCTAAGAACTATCCCTCCTCGCTCCCCCCTTTTTTTATTCTTTTTTTTTATTTTTCTTTTCTTTTCTTCTTTCTTTTTTTTCTTAAAAACATAAAGAAAAGAAGTAACCTAACCATGGAGATCCCAATCCATAAACCTACTACCCCGGGCCCCTTCTTGGTACCACACCCCATTCTGGCCCGGCCTCGTTTTTTGACCACTCTTCGGACACTCCTGATGCCCCTGTACCTCTTGCTGATGTTGTTTCCTCACCCGCTTCAGGTGCTGGGGTTTCGACTGACTCCTTCGATTTGTCTGACCTCTGCTCTCGTTTGACTATGCTTTCGGCCTCTCCCTCTACGATGCGGCAATTTTCGAATCGCCAGCCCATTCCACGTTGGACCAACTCTGGTCCCACTCCTAAATACCAACGACAATTGCCTGATGATGATACTTCACCACCTTCTCGTTCTTCTCAGAAAAGATCAACACGTCATGCACTCCCTTTCCAAGCTCAGTTTTGGAATGCGCAATGCACTAAATTCTTTACTTTACGACCTACTTCCTCTAGTGCCTATCTTTCCGACCATAATATTGGCAAGTCACTCCTACGTCATGTTGGTAGAGATATTTCCTTTCATGCTCTTAAGAGTGGTATGCACATCATCACTGTCCAGAATGCTACCCAAGCTCATGATCTTTCTCTTCTTTCACATAACAATACTATTCCTGTCACTATCGAAAAACATCATTCCTTCAATTCTTGTAGTGGTACTGTCATTCTGCCCCACACCATAGTCCAACAGAATTTTCAGATGTGGCAATGACATTCTCGAACAGCTGGAACTCCAAGATCTCCCAATCCTCAAGGTAGACACTTATGTCCTTCCTGCCCGCGGGCGGAGGCGATACCCTTGCAATGTGGCTCGATTAACTTTTGACAGCCGTGAACTCCCATCCTCTGTTTATGTAGCAGGACATCGGTTACAAGATCAGAAGTGATCCCTACACCGCAACAGTGTAGAAATTGCTGGCAATTTGGTCACCCAGCAAAATATTGCAGGTCTATACCTGAATGCCCAGTCTGTGGTGCCAATGACCATTCTAATACATATTGCAGTCAGCCTCCCTCTTGCCTTAATTGTCATGAGGCTCACCCTTCGTACTCTCGCCATTGCCAGGTCTACTTAAATGAGTGTGAAATCCGTTGCCTCAAAGAGGCAGAAGGTCTCCCTTATGCTATGGCAGTTTCTCATCTCTGCCTCCAAGGAAGACTACCCCATGTTTCTTATTCTCGTGTTTCAAAACATCCCCCCACTTCTGGGGTCCCATCTTCTGCAGCCTCCTCTGTGGTTACCCCTCCCATAGTCACTCCTGTATCTAATTCTTTTGCTGTCCTGGGCTCAGACGTCCCTACTTCAACACCTCAGTCTCTTCTCACATCTTCGAGTTTTCCCTCACAAGCCCCGGTATCGACAAGACCTCGCACGACACCTTCTACCAATCGCCCCTCTACTTTTCATTAGTCCAAAAAATTTCCATTGCTCAAATCTCCTTTAACCCCTCCTTCCCTTCTTCCACCTCATTTTACCTTCCCAGTCTCTGTACCTGGTTCTTCCCCTCTCACTGGCTCTGTTACAAGTGTGGAGGTTCACCCTCCTCCTCGTACTGTGCCTTCCTCCCCTGTTCCTCTTCTGCTACCTCCCAGGTTTCTGCCTCTTCTGTCCCCTCCCACACTTCTCCAGTTCCCTCCACCCTTTCGCCCCCCCTACTTTGGTACAGTCCATTATGGTTCCAATCTTTACTCATCCTCCTCCTTCCATCTCCAATATTGTCTCCCATACAATGTCTTTGAATTCCGAAACACTTGAAGCTATCTCTGAATATATTGCAGAGACCAAACCATCAATGGACACTGATCCACCCCCTGTTCCTTCTCTTTCCTCTCCTCCATCTACACAACTCCTTTCTTCGCAGCACACCATTCCTTCACTGCTTGAACGTTTTCCACTGCCGCCGCATGTGGACTTTTCTAACCCCTCTAGTCCGTAGGTACCCTTACCTGAGGATTTCTGGTATCTTTATCATTGCTAATCATGGCCTATTTACAGTGGAATATCCGCGGCCTCAGGGGTAATTGGGGTGAGCTTCAGATGTTGCTCTCTCGGTTTTCCCCTGTTGGTGTTTGCTTACAAGAACCAAAATTACACTCTGTTGTTATCTATCCCATCTCAGGTTATAATTTATTGTATTCTTCGGATCCTTTTCCTGATGGGACCTTTAATGAAAGTGCCCTTCTTCTACACACTGATATTCCGTACCATCAGCTATTTGTCCGTACTTCGCTGCATTACACAGCAGCCCATATCCACTTGCATAGGTGGTATACACTCTGTTCTTTGTATCTCTCTCCTTCTCGGGCATTATCTATCCCGGATGTTGCCTTTCTTCTTTCATCCTTACTGCCACCACTTCTGTTACTTGGCGATTTTAATGCTCATCATTTCCTCTGGGGGGTCTCACTGTGATTCCCGTGGCATTCAGATGGAGGCTTTTCTTGCTTCCTACCCCCTCCATGTTTTAAATACAGGTACTCACACCCATTTTGACCCTCGTACTCATACTCTCTCTTGCACTGATCTCTCAGTCTGCTCTTCCTCTGCTGCACTAGACTTCACCTGGTCTGTTCTCCCAGACTTACATGATAGCGATCATTTTCCAATCATTCTTACTTCTTCATATTCACCACCTCTTCGTAGCCCACGCTGGCAATTCGATCAAGCAAATTGGGACCTTTACTCGCAACTAACTGCTTTTAGTGAGGTTCCTTCTTCGCCCTCCATTGATGAGCTTTTACACCTCTTCTCGTCATCAGTTTTAACTGCAGCTTCTCATTCTATACCCCAAATCTTGGGCAGGCATTCTCAGAAGTGCATGCCTTGGTGGTCTCCTGCTTGTGCTCGTGCAGTACGTTTGAAACGCACTGTGTAGGGTAGGTACTGGTACAATAGAACCGCTGAAAGACTTCTTGATTTTAAGCAGAAGCGTGCTATTGCTCTCCGTGTCATTGATGATGCTAAACGCACTTGCTGGCGAGATTATGTTTCCACCATAACCTCTGCTTCCTCTATGAGTGCAGTCTGGAAAAAAGTGAGAAAATTGAGTGGTAAATATTCTCCTGACCTGGCTCTTGTTCTACTGGTCGCCAGTGTTGATATAGCAAACCCTCTTGACGTTGCAATTGAAATTGGCAATCATCTGGTCTTTATCTCTCGAGGGCTCCATCTATGCCCCTCGTTTCTTTCCTCAAAGTCTGCCAGAGAGTTAGCACCCTCGGACTTTTCTTCTCTCAGAGAAGAACAGTATAATGTGCCTTTTACACTTCAAGAACTGGAGGCAACACTCTCAGCTTGCCGATCATCGGCAGCTGGGCCTGACGACATTCATATTCGGATGTTACAACATTTACATCAGTCAGCCCTTGCAGTCCTCTTACACCTCTTCAATCTTATTTGGTCACAAGGAGTTCTTCCCCAGCTGTGGAAATCTGCCTTTGTTCTCCCTTTCTGCAAACCGAGTACTACAGGACATGATGCCTCCCACTATCGTCCCATTGCTCTTACCAGTTCAGATTGCAAAGTGATGGAATGTCTGGTATATCGACGTTTAATGTGGTATTTAGAGACACAACCGTCTCTCACTAGTCAATATGGCTTTCGTAAGGGCCGTTCTACCATAGACCACTTACTACACTTGGATACGTATGTTCGTAATGCTTTTGCGAATAACCACTCAGTTATTACCATATTTTTTGACCTTGAGAAGGCATATGACACAACTTAGAGGTATAATATTTTGGCCCAAGCCCACTCCTTAGGCCTCCGAGGCAATCTACCATCCTTCCTTAAGAACTTTTTAACTTACAGACATTCCCGTGTTCGGGTTAATAATGTGCTCTCCTCAGACTTCGTCCAAGCTGAAGGTGTCCCCCAGGGATATGTTCTGAGCACAACACTTTTTCTCCTTGCTATAAATGATTTGTCCTATAGTCTTCCATCCAATATTTGGTCATCACTCTATGTTGATGATTTCGCTATTGCTTGAGCAGGCGCTGACTGCCACCTCATTACAGTTTCTCTCCAGCATGCGTTCGACCGTGTTTCCAGTTGGGCCACCATGCATGGGTTTAAATTTTCCAGTACCAAAATTCACCAAATTACTTTCACTAGACGCTCTGTCATCTCCGATCATCCTTTGTACCTCTATGGCTCCCGTATCCGTGAACGTGATACAGTCAGGTTTCTAGGTCTTCTCTTTGTCCGTAGGTTATCCTGGAAACCTCACATTGCCTCTCTGAAGGCAACTTGTCACAGCCGGCTGAACCTTCTTAAAACCCTTGCTCATCTTTCATGGGAAGCTGATTGTCGAACTCTCCTTCGCCTACATTCAGCCCTCATTTTATCGAAACTCGATTATGGTGACCAGATCTATTCAGCGGCCTCTCCTGCTACTCTCTCTAGCCTTTACCCCATCCATCACCAAGGATTACGTTTATTCTTTGGTGCTTTTCGCTCTTCCCCTGTTGAGAGCATCTATGGAGAAGAGAATGTTCCATCCTTGTCCGATCGCCGTGATGCCCCATTGCCTTCACTACTATGTCCGCTCTCATGATCTCCGCAATCCTTCCATTTATAGAATGGTCACTGATATTAGTAGACATTCTTTATTTGTTCGCCGCCCCTGTTTGCTCCGTCCCTTCTCTCTTCGCCTATATTCGCTCTTGTCTTCCCTTCAGTTACCACCTTTCTATGTTCATGTAGCATCTCACTTTTTCCTACCCCCCTGGGAAGTTCCAGCTGTTTGAGTATGTTCATTCTCACTCCCTTGCTCAAAAGCCCAACTGCCTACTGTAGCTTCCCGCTCTCTTTTTCTTGACCACTTCCACTCTCATTCTCATGCCATCGCAGTGTACACAGATGGTTCTAAGTCTTCTGATGGCGTCGGATTCGCAGCAGTGTTTCCGGACAGCATTGTGCGAGGGCATTTGCTATCTTCGGCTAGCATTTTTGCTGCTGAATTGTATGCCATTCTTGCAGCACTTATTCCTATTGCATCTATGTCTGTGCCATCATTTGTGGTTGTATCAAACTCCCTTAGTGCTCTACAGGCTATATGGAAATTTTATACACCTCACCCCCTAGTTCTCCGTATCCAACTTTGGCTATGCCGTATCTCTACCAAGCATAAAGATATTGTTTTTTGTTGGGTCCCTGGTCATGTTGATGTACAGGGCAATGAACAGGCAGACACTGCTGCGCGGTGAGCAGTACATGATCTACCAGTTTCATATAGAGGTGTTCCATTTACAGACTATTTTGCTGTAATAGCTACCCACCTTCACACCCGTTGGCAACAACGTTGGTCTAATCTACTCGGTAACAAACTTCATTCTATTAAACCGAGTATAGGTTACTGGCCGTCTTCTTGTCATCAGAGTCGAGGTTGGGAGACTATTCTCTCCTGCCTTGCATTGGCCACACTCATCTTACTCATGGGTATCTCATGGAGAGGCACCCTGTTCCTCTCTGTAAGAAGTGTCAAGTTCCAATATCGATTAGCTACATTCTGTTAGACTGCCCACTCTATCAACGAGCACACAGAATTTACCTCCAACGTCGTCTCTCTCTCTTTACCTTCCCTTCTTGCTGATGGACCCTCCTTTAATCCTGACTCTCTCATTGACTTCTTGAGAACAACTGATTTACTCCACAAACTCTGATGATGATACCTTTCGCACTCCTCTCAGCCCTTTCTACCTCAATCTCTTGCTACCCTCTACCCCTGCACTATCCACTGCCCCGCTGTTCTCCGTAACCTACTAATCATCCATCTTCCTTTTACCCCCTGATACCCTCGCTTCCTTCCTGCCCTGCAGCGTTGTATAGCCCTTGTGGTTTAGCTTCTTTTTTATAATAATAATAATAATAATAATAATAATAATAATAATAATAATAATAATAATAATAATAATAATAGCCATTAATGGTTGTCATTCATTAAATATTTAAAAAATTATTTCTGTGCATAACCCACAAAATAAAAATGAAGACTTGAACATCTTCTGAGTTCGTCTTGTGCGAGTACCATTATAAAGTCGTCCCAGTTTCCGTATGCAACTTGTGCGTTAATGGCGAATTTCTCCAAACATGTTACTGTAAATGTTTACATATAATTCTTTTGTGAATTATTTCACCCACATTGTTTTTTTGACTTGCATCCTTTATTGTAATATATTCTCAAATGCATTAGCTTCTATTTATGTATGTGACTTAACTCCGGCAGACTATATGGATCACGTGATGGCGGACAATCCTGCTTTTGTGGACGACGAGGGTGTGGTGACTTACACACGAGGTGAGCAATATAGTAGTGTGCTGACTCAGGGCAGACGAGGGTGTGGTAACTTACACACGAGGTGAGCAATATAGTAGTGTGCTGACTCAGGTCAGACGAGGGTGTGGTGACTTACACACGAGGTGAGCAATATAGTAGTGTGCTGACTCAGGTCAGACAAGGGTGTGGTGACTTACACACGAGGTGAGCAATATAGTAGTGTGCTGACTCAGGTCAGACGAGGGTGTGGTGACTTACACACGAGGTGAGCAATATAGTAGTGTGCTGACTCAGGTCAGACGAGGGTGTGGTAACTTACACACGAGGTGAGCAATATAGTAGTGTGCTGACTCAGGTCAGACGAGGGTGTGGTGACTTACACACGAGGTGAGCAATATAGTAGTGTGCTGACTCAGGTCAGACGAGGGTGTGGTGATTTACACATGAGGTGAGCAATATAGTAGTGTGCTGACTCAGGTCAGACGAGGGTGTGGTGACTTACACACGAGGTGAGCAATATAGTAGTGTGCTGACTCAGGTCAGACGAGGGTGTGGTAACTTACACACGAGGTGAGCAATATAGTAGTGTGCTGACTCAGGTCAGACGAGGGTGTGGTGACTTACACACGAAGTGAGCAATATAGTAGTGTGCTGACTCAGGTCAGACGAGGGTGTGGTGACTTACACACGAAGTGAGCAATATAGTAGTGTGCTGACTCAGGTCAGACGAGGGTGTGGTGACTTACACACGAAGTGAGCAATATAGTAGTGTGCTGACTCAGGTCAGAGTTTTGCTCTAAATTTGATACTTAAAAAATTGCACATATTTAGCCATTGTGAAAGTCAATATTAGGTGGCATTCGCAGATAGTTTTTTGTTGTATATGAAGCTTTCTTTGTGATGCTGAGAGTATTTTACATAAAAGAAAATAAATTATATAGCGTAATTTTTTTAGTGTATAACATCTATTAGGATTAATTGTATATCTGCATGTAATAGTTTTATAACAAGTTAGTGTAGTATGTTCTGATTTATATATGCATAAAACAATTGTAAACAAAATTATGTATCTCATTATGTTGAAGTGTGTATGTAACAATACAAGTCATGTACTTGTCCATACTTCACAGACATGCCTAGTTCTTCCAGAAAAAGATCAAGTCACACCACAGTAGCAGAAGCAATATTACCTTGGAAACGATACCATGGTTGTAAGTATCAATGACTTTCCTGTTTCATAATCAAGGAACTATCCGTAAGGGTCTTGGGGTGGAGAGGAAGTGATAGTCAACCACTGCACCATGCAAACTAGATTTTTATTTTTATTTCTATATGCGCCTTCACATGTGAACTGCTGTTTTCAGTTTTCATCACAAAAATTATATTGATTTGTATTTAATTTGTTCATTACCTTGAATGTGTTTCGTTTTGTTTCGTGCAGCTCATAAAGTGAACAGTAATATAGAAATGATTATAAAGGTCCCAGAGAATCCCTGAGGCCTTACTGAGTTACATCGTTGTAATATATGGATACACACTTAAGTTTTCACATATTATTGATAATGAAGCCATCTGTCTCTTGTAGCGTTTAAGGCCTGTCTCTAATTTTTTTTTTTTTTTGGACAATCAAGGCATAATGGCCTTGGCTACAATTTACAACTTCATATAAGTTGAAATATCAAGGCTAGGTAGGCTAGTCTCAGCCTAGCAGTGACAGCAGTCAACTGATCATGTTGCTTTATGCAATATTTACTGATAATTTTCATGATAAAGGAAACAAAGTATTGTTAAACGTTATAATGACAACGTTTCTTAAATTACATTATTTTATCATACAATTTGTCAATATTCATTTGATATTCTTATTATAAATTTTGTTAAGTACAATGTTTTTGTTAGTTTCTATCTGCACTTCAGGCATTAAATTTTAGTGCTAGTTCTTTTCTGATTAACTTACAAATCCGTCACTTATATCACATCTGTCAACCATTCATCCTTTATCATATAAATTATCATCACATCCATTTCGTGAAATTACTATGACATCAATAATATAAGTGGTAAATACTACATAAGGACCATGGAGATGAAACAAGTTTACAAGATAACTAATAAAAACTTATTTTTTATTTTTTATTTTTTTTTCTTGCTGCAAATATTAGAGGCTAAAAGTTCTTGTTTACCCTCACAGGTGACGCTCCTGAATCAGCTCGTGATGTCAAACGAAAATTCAGCGTCATACCAGATGGTAAGGAGAATATTATTACATTTATGGGGAGCGCTAAACCCGTAGAGATCATAAAGCAGCTGGGGAAATGAGGGAGTTATTACTGTTCGATCCAAGGAAAGGGAAATAGGGTCCAGTGCCATGGATCAAGACCTTCATTTACCAGGTTCAAGGAACTTGCCTGGGGTGGGTGGGGGGGGACAACGTCTTGTATTTTGGAAATTCATTTCATAATTATTTAATTTTGAATGCAAAATGGGTGATATACTGATAACATTATTAGTTACAATATCCAAACTTTTGCTTTGTCTAATATTAAAGTGATTCGTCTGTAGACCTCATGAGACTTTGTTACCTTTTACAAAATTTAATTGTTTTGTTATAAATTAACTTTTGCTAATGTCACTCAAGCATAATTTTACATTTGCTTGTTAAGATAATACCAAATCTTGACATAAATTCTATAAGCTACTAGCAAACTAACTAGATAAATGAAGGATAAACACGTTTTAAAAGGGGCAAAATATTGCTGTAAGTGGATGAGCGAAGAGAGGGGAGGGTGCTTATATTTTATTAATGTAAATTTGTAAATACTTCACAGATATATTTTATTTTTCCTATAGGTGGCAATGTCATACAAACGATGACTGAGGTCTCACTACCCTGGAAGCGAACAGATAACTCTGATCAACCAGTCCAACAGACGGAGTTCCCTGCTTGGGCATCAAATAAGGAATATTTACTTTATCATTCGCCTTCTAATACTCTGCTTGGTAAATGATTTAACTGATTTTATAAACTTAACTAAGCTCTTTGTGATAAATTAATAATATTTTCTTTAAAAAGCGTATTAATTAATGAAGTTGATATTCAAAATGACTCATAACAATATTAAATTCATTCCACAGGTTCCCTAGGAAAGCACGAATCGTATCCCAACATACGTGAAATTTTTGGAAGGCGGAGCAGCAGCGGTGCATCAGTCACTGCCCACCGTGATTCCTTGAAAGACAGTCTCAGTTTTGCTAAAGATAATACCTCGGGCACTTCACTCCAGGATAAATTTCCCTCGCGTAATTCTTTGAATGAATCAACCTTATACACTGCATCCTTACTTGTGCCAGACTTATCTTTGAACATGAGGCGACATTCTCACACAGGAGAACACTCCCTGCTTAATACTACAATTAAAGAGGAAGAAGGACGACGCGATGCAGTAATTGAAGTTATCCCTGATCGTGAGCAGACACGGATGTAGATTCTACTCTCCATAAGAATATATATATATTTTTATATTTTAACAACATTTAGGTAAATGTATGTGGTTCTTGTAGTGTAATATATGAAAAAATGTGTTCTACTCATATATATTTTATAAAAGGGGTGATAAATTCTATGCAGGTAATCTCTAGTTATAAAATGATGTAATTCTCCAAGTTCACATAGTGTTTGCAGAATGAGTTTTTTATACACATTCAGAAAATGCATCATTGATGTTGACAAAAAATCAGTAATCTAATTCATTAATTACATTTATATACATAAATACAGAACACTAATCCTTTTCAACTCATCTCATTGAGGTAATAATCTATATTTTTGTTGGAATTTGTAAACTACACTCTAGTAAATGTATATAATTGTTTGTATTATTTTGTATTGCGATATTTTCATGCTTCCTCTGTATATAATAAATTACATTGTACAGCATTAGTAATTATGTCTCATTTTATACTGGACCTAAAACAAATGTTGGTCGTTGAGGTGACACCTGTGTTAAGTTGACGATCCGTTGAGGTGACACCTGTGTTAAGTTGACGATCCGTTGAGGTGACACCTGTGTTAATTAGACGATCCGTTGAGGTGACACCTGTGTTAAGTAGACGATCCGTTGAGGTGACACCTGTGTTAAGTAGACGATCCGTTGAGGTGACACCTGTGTTAAGTAGACGATCCGTTGAGGTGACACCTGTGTTAATTAGACGATCCGTTGAGGTGACACCTGTGTTAAGTAGACGATCCGTTGAGGTGACACCTGTGTTAAGTAGACGATCCGTTGAGGTGACGCCTGTGTTAAGTAGACGATCCGTTGAGGTGACACCTGTGTTAAGTTGACGATCCGTTGAGGTGACACCTGTGTTAATAGACGATCCGTTGAAGTGACACCTGTGTTAAGTAGACGATCCGTTGAGGTGACACCTGTGTTAAGTAGACGATCCGTTGAGGTGACACCTGTGTTAATTAGACGATCCGTTGAGGTGACACCTGTGTTAAGTAGACGATCCGTTGAGGTGACACCTGTGTTAAGTAGACGATCCGTTGAGGTGACACCTGTGTTAAGTTTGACGATCCGTTGAAGGGGACACCTGTGTTAAGTTAGACGATCCGTTGAGGTGACACCTGTGTTAAGTAGACGATCCGTTGAGGTGACACCTGTGTTAATTGAACGATCCGTTAAAGTGACACCTGTGTTAAGTAGACGATCCGTTGAGGTGACACCTGTGTTAAGTAGACGATCCGTTGAGGTGACACCTGTGTTAAGTAGACGATCCGTTGAGGTGACACCTGTGTTAATTAGACGATCCGTTGAGGTGACACCTGTGTTAAGTAGACGATCCGTTGAGGTGACACCTGTGTTAATTAGACGATCCGTTGAAGTGACACCTGTGTTAAGTAGAGATCCGTTGAGGTGACACCTGTGTTAAGTAGACGATCCGTTGAGGTGACACCTGTGTTAATTAGACGATCCGTTGAGGTGACACCTGTGTTAATTAGACGATCCGTTGAGGTGACACCTGTGTTAATTAGACGATCCGTTGAAAGGGGACACCTGTGTTAAGTAGACGATCCGTTGAGGTGACACCTGTGTTAAGTAGACGATCCGTTGAGGTGACACCTGTGTTAAGTAGACGATCCGTTGAGGTGACACCTGTGTTAAGTAGACGATCCGTTGAGGTGACACCTGTGTTAAGTTTGACGATCCGTTGAGGTGACACCTGTGTTAAGTAGACGATCCGTTGAGGTGACACCTGTGTTAATTAGACGATCCGTTGAAGTGACACCTGTGTTAAGTAGACGATCCGTTGAGGTGACACCTGTGTTAATTGAACGATCCGTTAAAGTGACACCTGTGTTAAGTAGACGATCCGTTGAGGTGACACCTGTGTTAAGTAGACGATCCGTTGAGGTGACACCTGTGTTAATTAGACGATCCGTTGAGGTGACACCTGTGTTAAGTAGACGATCCGTTGAGGTGACACCTGTGTTAAGTAGACGATCCGTTGAGGTGACACCTGTGTTAAGTAGACGATCCGTTGAGGTGACACCTGTGTTAAGTAGAGGATCCGTTGAGGTGACACCTGTGTTAAGTAGACGATCCGTTGAGGTGACACCTGTGTTAATAGACGGGTCCGTTGAGGTGACACCTGTGTTAAGTAGACGATCCGTTGAGGTGACACCTGTGTTAATTAACGATCCGTTAAAGTGACACCTGTGTTAAGTAGACGATCCGTTGAGGTGACCCTGTGTTAAGTTTAAAGATCCGTTAATGACACCTGTGTTAAGTAAACGATCCGTTGAGGTGACACTTGTGTTAAGTAGACGATCCGTTGAGGTGACACCTGTGTTAAGTAGACGATCCGTTGAGGTGACACCTGTGTTAAGTAGACGATCCGTTGAGGTGACACCTGTGTTAGGCAGACGATCCGTTGAGGTGACACCTGTGTTAGGTAGACGATCCGTTGAGGTGACACCTGTGTTAGGTAGACGATCCTTTGAGGTGACACCTGCGTTAGGTAGACGATCCGTTGAGGTGACACCTGTGTTAAGTAGACGATCCGTTGAGGTGACACCTGTGTTAGGTAGACGATCCGTTGAGGTGACGGCTGTTAAGTAGACGATCCGTTGAGGTGACGGCTGTGTTAAGTAGACGATCCGTTGAGGTGACGGCTGTGTTAAGTAGACGATCCGTTGAGGTGACACCTGTGTTAAGTAGACGATCCGTTGAGGTGACGGCTGTTAAGTAGACGATCCGTTGAGGTGACACCTGTGTTAGGTAGACGATCCGTTGAGGTGACGGCTGTGTTAAGTAGACGATCCGTTGAGGTGACACCTGTGTTAAGTAGACGATCCGTTGAGGTGACACCTGTGTTAAGTAGAGGATCCGTTGAGGTGACACCTGTGTTAAGTAGACGATCCGTTGAGGTGACACCTGTGTTAATTAGACGATCCGTTGAGGTGACACCTGTGTTAAGTAGACGATCCGTTGAGGTGACGCCTGTGTTAATTAAGACGATCCGTTAAGTGACCCTGTGTTAAGTAGAGATCCGTTGAGGTGACACCTGTGTTAAGTAGACGATCCGTTGAGGTGACACCTGTGTTAATTTGAAAGATCCGTTGAGGTGACACTTGTGTTAAGTAGACGATCCGTTGAGGTGACCCTGTGTTAAATAGACGATCCGTTGAGGTGACACCTGTGTTAAGTAGACGATCCGTTGAGGTGACACCTGTGTTAGGTAGACGATCCGTTGAGGTGACACCTGTGTTAGGTAGACGATCCGTTGAGGTGACACCTGTGTTAAGTAGACGATCCTTTGAGGTGACGCGTTAGGGGTTAAACTTAAGTAGACGATCCGTTGAGGTGACACCTGTGTTAGGTAGACGATCCGTTGAGGTGACGCCTGTGTTAAGTAGACGATCCCTTGAGGTGACGCTGTGTTAAGTAGACGATCCGTTAGGTGACGCCTGTGTTAAGTAGACGATCCGTTGAGGTGACGCCTGTGTTAAGTAGACGATCCGTTGAGGTGACACCTGTGTTAAGTAGACGATCCGTTGAGGTGACACCTGTGTTAGGTAGACGATCCGTTGAGGTGACGGCTGTGTTAAGTAGACGATCCGTTGAGGTGACGCCTGTGTTAAGTAGACGATCCGTTGAGGTGACGCCTGTGTTAAGTAGACGATCCGTTGAGGTGACACCTGTGTTAGGTAGACGATCCGTTGAGGTGACGCCTGTGTTAAGTAGACGATCCGTTGAGGTGACGGGCCCGTGTTAAGTAGACGATCCGTTGAGGGGACACCTGTGTTAAGTAGACGATCCGTTGAGGTGACACTGTGTTAGGTAGACGATCCGTTGAGGTGACGGCTTGTGTTAAGTAGACGATCCGTTGAGGTGACGTCCGTGTTAAGTAGACGATCCGTTGAGGTGACGCCTGTGTTAAGTAGACGATCCGTTGAGGTGACACCTGTGTTAAGTAGACGATCCGTTGAGGTGACACCTGTGTTAAGTAGACGATCCGTTGAGGTGACACCTGTGTTAAGTAGACGATCCGTTAAGGTGACGCCTGTGTTAAGTAGACGATCCGTTGAGGTGACGGCTGTGTTAAGTAGACGATCCGTTGAGGTGACGCCTGTGTTAAGTAGACGATCCGTTGAGGTGACGCCTGTGTTAAGGGAGACGATCCGTTGAGGTGACGCCCGTGTTAAGTAGACGATCCGTTGAAGTGACGCCTGTGTTAAGTAGACGATCCGTTGAGGTGACGCTTGTGTTAGGTAAACGATCCGTTGAGGTGACGCCTGTGTTAAGTAGACGATCCGTTGAGGTGACGGCTGTGTTAAGTAGACGATCCGTTGAGGTGACGCCTGTGTTAAGTAGACGATCCGTTGAGGTGACACCTGTGTTAAGTAGACGATCCGTTGAGGTGACAGCTGTGTTATTAGGACGATCCGTTGAGGTGACGCCTGTGTTAAGTAGACGATCCGTTGAGTCTGACCTGTTTAAGTATTAGTTATGATGTGTTGTCGATCCGTTGAGATGACACCGTTAAAGACGACCTTTATGTGACACTTTTTAAAGACGCAGTCCGTTAGTGACCTGTGTTAAAAGAACGATCTTGGCGTTTACTGATTTATTCCTAAGAGGTGACACTGTATAAGTTAAAGATGTTAGCTTCACCGTGTTAATAACATCGTTTGAGGTGACTCCTGTGTTGTAGACGATCGTTGCGGAGCAGAATGTTAAGTAGACGATTTGAGGTGACGCGTTTAAGTAACACGTGAGGTGGCAGTTTTGGACCTTAGTACCGCCTGTTTTAATATATCCGTTGATGAACTGATGATAAGTAGCATCCTTAGTACATTTTCTCTTGGTGAAAAATAATCCGTTCAAGGTTCCTTGCTCTAAGTAACGATCCTGAGTGTGAGGGACTACTTGTTAGGAATTGACGATCCGTGAGGTGACCTGTGTTAAGTAGACGATCCGTTGAGTGACACCTTGTAAGTAGACGATCCGTTTGAGGTGACGCCTGTTTTAGGTAGACGGGTCCGTTGAGGTGGACCGCCTGTGTTAAGTGACGATCCCTTGAGGTGACGCCTGTGGTTTTAAATAGACGATCCGTTGAGGTGACGCCTGTGTTAAGTAGACGATCCGTTGAGGTGACGCCTGTGTTAGGTAGACGATCCGTTGAGGTGACGCCTGTGTTAAGTAGACGATCCGTTGAGGTGACGGCTGTGTTAAGTAGACGATCCGTTGAGGTGACGGCTGTGTTTTAAATAGACGATCCGTTGAGGTGACGCCTGTGTTAAGTAGACGATCCGTTGAGGTGACGCCTGTGTTAGGTAGACGATCCGTTGAGGTGACGCCTGTGTTAATTAGACGATCCGTTGAGGTGACGGCTGTGTTAAGT